TTGAAGTGATTTAAAACGTTTCTATTAGATTCTCTAATAATATCGAGCTTGCTCTATTTCTGTTGCTTGGGAGAAGTCTCACTTATGCTTTTTTTCCAAGGCTCTGGAAAAAACCAGTTTCAAGGGCATGACAGCCATTCTAACAATCTTGTTCCATGTATTAGTTTGTTGGATGTTTGTCATTTTCATCTACCTCCGGTGAGGTCTACCCTCAATGGTGCGAGGTCATTCCATTTGGAACGGAGGTGAAATATCTTGGCATTGTCCTTGATAAAAACTCACCTGGAACGCTCACTTGGAAGAAGTTTTACACAAAGTCAGACTGTCCCTATGGACACATCGAAGGGTTTGTGGTAAAACGTGGGGTTTAGGTCCCAAACAAATTCATTGGATTTATGTGATGATTGTCAGACCAATGATCACTTATGGTGCGATTGCTTGGTGGCCGGAGGCTTTAAAGGCACCACTGATGGCCAGACAGGTCTGGCCATCAGTGGTGCCATCAGTACTACATCATCAGCGGCCATGGAGATCCTTCCAAATCTACCTCCTCTTCACATTTTTCTGGATAAAGAGGCTAGATGGACTGCATGTAGACTTGTGAGCATTGCCAATTGTCACAAATCAATTTAATGCAGAGTGTAATAGACTGTTGGTTGACACTGGAAGTCACAGCATTCTGGGAATTACCTTTGACTTTATGCCTTCAACTGTCAACTACGAACTGCCTTATAAGTACTGTTCTCGAGACAAGAGCAGATAGTTGTTGTTTCACAGATCAAAAACAGCTTCCAGGTGGTGCAGGTGTTTTCAGTCGCAGACCCAGGACAGAGATATCAACCTGCCTAGGAACCTCTGCGACTGTATTTTAAGCGGAAATTTACGGTAGTGAATTGTGTGCGGATAGATTGGAAGAATCCAACCTCATACATAAGTCAGTAAAAATATTCTCAGACAGCCAAGCGACGTTGGAAGCTCTTGGCTCCTATTGGGCAATGTCTAAATTGGTAGCAGCCTAATACAACTCTCCTCAATAGGAAGACAACAGATTCTCTCTGGTCTAGAGTCCTGGCTATACTGGCCTGGAAGCCAATGAGGCTGCTGACTCCCTTGCAAAGGAAGGTGCTGCAAACTAATCGGCTTCGTTGAGAAGTTGGATTGAGTTTGAATAGGTGTGATCCACAATAAACACTTGCGGGTTGCGAATAGACCCACTCACTTTGGACCTAACCTAACCTAACCTGTCTCCGGAATCTTGATACAACCTCATTTCTTGTAGGTTTCCTCTGGATAGTGAATAGTGAGTGAAGGTTCATATATGGAACTGATGATCCGTGTCTAGCACAATCTCCTACATTTTCACTGCCTGTCTTTTTGATGGAATGGAACCTAGTGATGAGTTAACGTTTTTCGGTCCACAAGTTTGCTGTATTCCCAGGCCATTCTTGATGTCACTTTTAGGGTCATCAGTATCACAAACACAGTTTGGCTGTCGGTAAGAATATTGATCTGCTCATTTCGTTGATACCTGACATTTATATTCTTTGTGCATTGCAAGAACGTATATATTTTTGCTCGCTTCCGTCCTATGTTCAGTTTTCGACATGTTTGTATACCAGGTATTCTCTTGTGATGAGTATTAATCATCCATTCTTTACGGTTTGTGAATATTATCGTGAAGAAATGTGATAGAAACGAATATCAGTACACGACACCCTGTAGCTCGGCGAATTTCACAATCTGAATTGGCTCATTCTTGCCTTCAAGAGTAGATTCAAGATGGTATTCAAGTGAGAGAAAAAAACACTTTGTATTTGATGTGCAAATGGCTTTTGGTTCAGATAGCGAATTTGCATACGCATCTGCTCTTCCACCAATGCCGAAAATGTATAAAAATAAAATATTATATTAGGGCTTGAGGAGAAGAAAAGAAGAACGGAAAAATGAAAGAGATGGTAAAATACATATAGATATAGACATATACTTTTGTTTTGACCCACGAAATTTTATCGTGAGTATGAATGCTCAATGCATACAAGAATTACAATAACTCTTGTGTAAAAGAGGATAAGAGGAGGATAAGAGGATAATAAAAATAACTAGCTAGATGTACTGTAGGCAAGACAAGATTTATTCTAACTGTACTATTACAAGGTTTGAAACGTAATTAATGCTTTTACAAAATGCACTGTTTCACATCGGTGGTTAAAAGGTTTGTTCTGGTTCTAACATCCGAAACTGTTTGGAAACTGCGCAAGACATGGTGCGTACAAACAAAAAATCTCAATCAGTCCGAAATAGTCTCGGAAACTTGTTTAAACCAGAACGCTGTTGAGGAGACCACTGTGCCACCTATCGTGTATATGGAGAGATGAAGACGAGAAAATACTATTAATCATGTCCATTTTGTTATGTAGCGTATCCCTATAGTCAGTTCAAATGTTATCTACCCTCAATCATCAATTATTCAATCAACTAAATAAAAAAACATCCTAGCAAATAGCCCAAACAAATTTCCACACGAATGCGCATGAGCAACGGGAACATTTCTCAATAGTTCAGCCTCGAGAGCAAGAACGATTCGGGACGGTTCAAAACAGTTTAGGATCATTTCGCAGTCGAAACCAGAACAGCGGATTCATCAGACCGAAACTGTTCTGTTCAAAATCTGTTTTTCCGTTAACCAGCTGTCGCACCCCTACGAACGACAACCCTCAGAAGTGGAAACTTGTGCGAGCTAAGGATTAACGAGGTCTTACCTATCCTCAATAAACCAGAACGCTCTATATCAACTTCGCATGATCCTGACGTCCTAGAACCTGAATTTCGTAGAACCAGAACAAACCTAGAGAAGGGTTCAGATTCGTCATTGTAGGTTTGATACAGGGTTGGTAGGTATAACAGGTAGGAAAGGTTATAATAGATGGTAATTCCCAAGATAAGGGATACAAGGAACAATTAACGAATTTAAAGGTAGCTATTCGTAATTAACAATATTTACATGGAAATAGGCTTGAATATTCGAGTTGTTCAGGAAAAGATATTCGGGAATATTGAATTTTATGAGGATAAGTGGATTAGAAAAGACCCGTACCTTAGAGAACTAACTGGAAATAATGAAAAATTGAATAACTTAACCAATATTAGTTAAAAATACCTAAAATAAAAATAATGCCATAAAACAATCTGTTTTGTTGTACAAATTTTAGAGCTGACAACTCTAGGCTAAATACTAAAGAATTAAGATTGACTTGAAAAACATAATAATTTCGATAGCAAGATTTTGAGAGCGAAAAACTTTTAAAAACAGTTTCTGAGATATTAAAACAATTGTTTTTCCATTTATGGATATAATTTATTGTGGGGGAGATATTTTATATCAATATACCTGTTGTTCTGAGAAGTTACATATTATACATATTATAGGAAAAAGGTCGTTTACATATTTTCTTTTTAAGTATAGGAATCTTCAACACTACCTTTCTACGCAAATTCAGGTTATGGACAGCTGTTCTATAAGATGAATGTTCGTATAAGTAGGGAGGACTCCTACATTTGTATATCTCCTACAGAAGTTTATGTCGTTTTTTGTATGGAGTAGTAGAAAGCCAAAAGGTTTTTACGAATAATGAACACCCTATTGATGATCTTCGTTTTGAAAATAAAGACAAGGTTTAACTTCGGATGGAAAATACACAAACATTGAAAATGTTTTCCAAATGAACTTCTGAAAGTATTTAGCTTTCTTATAAATGTTCGCAATATTTCTTAGACCCAACTACCAAAATTATCAACTGGACAAATTTTGCTCTTCTTAGTCACTATTCAAGACAAATCAGGAGACTTTATCGAGGAGAGCCACATACCTATTGGAAAATAAATATTTCGATATCAAATCTCAAAACATCAATCTCTCCCAAAGTACCTACACCGCAGGTTCTGGTAAATGCCTGAGACTGGCCTAAATAAATTGTTTCTTTTGATGATTTGATTTACAGCCAGTCTTCAAGTATGCCCACTGACTATATGCGAAGTTTTTTTCCTTATACGAGGAATTTGGCAAATTTCGGATATGCGGTTGGTTACCTCGTGCACAGGCAGATGGGATGATGACAAATCTGTTGTTTGTTGTCCGCTTTAGCCTAGATCGAGGAATGATACTCTGAAAGAATTCGATTTTCAATTATCGGAAATCATTGACTTTATGTTGATGAGTGGCCAAACAGCCCGAAACCGGTCTGCAAGTGTGTTCCAATAATTGAAAATCTATTTCGTCAGTTGTATCACCAACAGTATTTGCAGGAATAACTTCAGTGAAGAATCCTGCACTGACACCTGTTGGATATAATCCAACGCCCTTCGTGGTATTTGCCAGGAAAGTAGTTGCTTTCTGATAGGTGTCAGTTGTCATTAACCTACTGTGTAGGGAGTCGAGACTGGCTTGAACAAATTGTTCCTTTATATGATTTGATTTATAGCCTTCAAGTGTGACCAAGCCTTCAAGTATCCCCAATGACTATATGTGAAAACTACAGCTACAACCCCAGCTACAACCACGCTGGATATTGAACTATATTCGACAGACATTTATGCAAGATACCTCACAGAGGTTAGTCTTGCAGATGTTTCTCTTTCATCCAACAGAAGGAACACGCAGGACCAGAAAGGTTTGTTAACTAGTAAAAGCTTCATCTCGTGATCAAAGCCCCAAAAACGGGGAAGGAACATCCCATACACCAATACTCTAACAGAATTCAAAGTGAGTCGAGATTACATTTCGAATTAGTAATTTTCTTATAAGTCACTATTATTTATTTGAGTCACCACTTCTGTGGTGATGGTAATAGTTTTTACCAAATCAGAAACAGATGGAAGCTGGTGGAGTGATTAAACTATATTGAAACAAAATCTAAATCTTTTTTTTAGATTCGTGTTAGCAAGACCAGCCATTAACAATAGTGATTTGCTTGCCTATTCAACTAGAAATAATGAAACTCGAATTTATACAAAAATTATAATTTATTACTTAATTCGTACATAAATAAATAGTCTTCATTCTTGAAACACGTCAGGCTCTACATTTTTCTCTGTCAGCATTTACGGGCCAGTCACAGACATTGCTGGCCGTTTGGTAAACTGTTCCGGGTTCGCAGTCGAAGGCAACTGGCTTTCCGTGAACACAACGATAGTACTAAAACAAATAATAATAATAATAATCATTTGGCCGAAATTTATCAAAACGTTATGATGGACATGAGAAGTCCTTCAGACTATTTGGAATCTAAGTATTTGAAATATTAAATGACCAAATCGACCTGGTCTACTCGACGGTGTTCAGATTAGTGTACTCACATTAACAAAATCCACATAATTAAGTCATTAAAGACCGTTTGTTTTTACCTACAGTGTTTGAAAATATCCTTATGGAACAAAACTGCAGTAACATTGGTTACAAATACAAGTGGTATGAAAGTTTTATTTCCCATTTTTCGTTATGATCTTCCACCACGTAATAACGGCTACATCCATCAATTCATTATTATTGTCGGTTACACCGTATTCACCGAAAAACGATAATTTAATAATGAATATGGATAAATATTGTGTGCACCCTGAAAGTTATAGGTATGTATTCCATAGCCCTGCTTGAGTCACATTACCAATTCTGTTGCTGAGGAAAGTTTGGATTTTCATGTATATTCTCTGATTAGAGCAAGATTTAAAGAAGAAAAAGTAATTGTTAACGCTTGACGTGTAATGCCAATCGGAGAAAGACATTTGTTTCCGTTAACCAGCTGCAGAAACATTAAAATACTGTGTCGCTGTGTGTGTGACTTCATGATATTTTTCGTATTCTTTTCAGCATACCATCTCATTTGATCTCCAAGTCATGGGGCTGCAGAGCGCTATACAGGATGTAAATTGTCATCCACACCAAACGTGAATAGGTACCCAATTTTAGCTCAATCGGTTGAGGTTGACTGTTTCAAAATTGAGTTGAACGATTTGAATCGGAAAAACATGTACACAAACACTGCCAGTTAAATGAATTGAAAAGCTCGTAACTCGTAATAACAAAAATGGAACCAAAAATAAGTATTCATCAGTAATCAAGTATAATATATAAAAATACTGATTTTTAAGTACCTTAGCACAGTCTTCATGAGGCATGAAATCTCCTTTGCATTCGCTGGGATAATCTATTTCGTTCGGAGAGCTGGTGGAGGGAGCTGCTGAAGAACTAACAGGGGCTGCAGTGGTGATCGTTACTGCGGCAGTTGTTGGTTTTTTGGTAGTTTCGACAGATGCACTGGAGGGAGCATCTGGAACCCATTGTCCGGGCTTCGGTGTCGTAACAATCGGCTTCGATCCGTCAGCTGAAGGAGTGCTGGGAGGTCTAGCCCACTCAGGCTAAAGAAAGAAACGAAGACTATTTACAGATCAAACATTAAAGCACTGTGAAGAATTAAGGGTAATATTAATTATAGAAAAGAAATCATTGGAATATGACATTAAAAGCATTGTTAAGCCAAAAAGTAGTGTAATGAAAAGAGTGAACTGCAGCCTGTTTATTCACTTAAATGGAGGATGACACGTATTTTGGATAAATACGAAGGATTAACTACATACACGTTTGTTTAGCGTGATCGCTGTTTTCTTGAATTTCCTTCGTTTTTGATGACGTAAAACATGGGCTGAAAAGTCCCGGGACTGAGAAAGATTTACAACAGGAGCCACATAATCATTCCATCGCCGCTCTAAAATGTCGATAACACTTTTATAGAACGACTCATTTTTGAGGTCTGCAAACTGAGGCCAAACCTAGAGAATATGGCTGTTACGGCAGCAATTCGAAGCCCAATTCCTGCAATATCACCCTTGTTTTGATTGATTTGTGACACAGTGTGTGTTGTTTTGATGAAACACAATTTTTTCCTTGTCATATGCAGTCGTTTCTTTGTAATTTCAGCCTTCAAACACTCCAATAACGCTATAAAATATTTAGTGTTGATGGTATTTCCCTTTTTAAGATAGTCGATGAATATTATCCCAAAAAAAAAACTAGATTTAATTTCATGTGATTGGGATTTGAATTCAACTGTTGTTAATGTCATATATGTCAATTTACTTAATAACTGTCAATCAGTTATCGATAAAGTTGCACCAATTCAAGTCTGTCATGCGAATTGTTCTAAAAGTGAATAGATTCACTGAAATCGGAATTATGTTACAAACTTTGCGGTGGCTACCAGTTTCTTTACTGTTGTATTACTCAACTATGACATTTATATATAAAATTCTGAATAATTTATCACCTTCATATTTTTCTGAATTTGTTAGTTTAAATTCAGAAGTGCACAAATACGCCACAAGAAATTATACTAATTTGCATTTATGCAGAACAAATAGGAGAAGTGCCATGAATTCTTTATTTTTCAAAGGGTTTGATGTATACAATAAATAACCAAATGAAATTAAATCTAGTCCATCATTAAGTATTTTTAAAAACAATTATTGAAATCCATCCATAATGCTGGATAGAATAGAACTTGGTAAGATAATATTAATAAATATAGTATTTGCAATATGGAATTGATCAACTAGTACTGGATCCTACCAGAATTACTAGCAACAGTGAGACTCTAATTGATTATGTACTAACTAATAATAATTATGCAAACTGTTTTGTCCATGAAATGCACACACTGTGAATACTCTTCAGTAACATTTGATCCTTTCTGGGATTTGTCTCTCTCCATATCACAAAGAACCGACCAATTGAGTTTGTGGCAATGCTTAGATTATTTTACAAGAGAAGAAACTTTGGATGGAATTGAAAAACCGACGTGTTCGAAATGCAAGGAAAGGAGAAATTGCATAAAGTCCCTATCAATCCACAAGTTTCCCTATATTTTAGTAATACATTTAAAAAGATTCTCTCCAACGGAAAGTAGAGGCAAATTGAATGATGTCATCGAATTTCCTCTAGAAGGATTGGATATGGACAATTTTGCAGGAGAAAATGTGGCTACTTGTTATAATCTATATGCACTTTTAAATCACAGTGGGACTACTAACAGATATACAGCATACTGCAGACACCCGTATACTAGCGCGTGGCACAAATACAACGATTCACACGTGTCACCAATTTCACCAAAGTCGCTTGTGAGTGGAGAAGCATACGTCCTCTTTTATGTAAAGGATGGAACAAAATCGCGCCTTTAAGATAACCGAGGGAAAGTTTAACTTTTAGTTTTTTCAATTTTGTAATTTTTTTCAACTTCTCATTTTTGTAAATTTATTTGTGTGTTGTTTTCTGCTGTTTATCATTGTATTGAAGCTGCACCTATATTGCAATGTATTATCAATAGCATATGTCGTTATTTTTCAAACTAAAAATTTTTATTTTCAGTTTTGAACTATATCTACATTTTTAGTTTTTTTTATATAATTATTTTCAATTTCTATGTTGATAATATGTTTTATATCATATTGTGTATTAGGATTATCTATTTCAATAAATATATTCTTCTTCATTGTCACATATTGACGCAAAAATTCCGGTTTGTTTGTTTGAACATGGCCAAATACTGCTCAGAATCATTAAGACTTTGAACAAAGCTTTCTCCAAATACTCATGTAATATAAAACCAACACATTCTTTTGATTACTTTACAACTTCATGAAACTTCACTTGTGTTATGCCTCATTTGGACATCCACTGCGTTCTGCATCATCGGTATCTCTAAGACCAGGTTTGAAGTCAACAAATCAACGTTTAATTATTGTTTCTGATAGAGCGGAGTCTTTATAACACTTTTCAATGCATTGCTTCGCTTAAACGGTATTTTTTCCCATCGAGAAGCAGTGTGAAATTAAAACAGGAAATTGCTTTTGATCCATTGTTTTGTGAATAACGAAAGTAGTGTCACTCTTAGCACAATAACTCACAAACTATGTGTGAAATATCATGAAGGTAAGTACTAACTGAAAAAGCGGTGAATGCAATAATACTAACGCCATCTATGTGTTGGGCCCGAGACTTTTCAGCCCAGGTGGTTATGCTGCAGACCGCTTAATTTTTGTGTTTGTGTTTTAAAACCTACTATGATTTGCAGATTGGACCTTATTGAATGTTCTTTTTGTAATCGGTGATTTTGCTGTATTGCTGTATTTGACTTTATTTCGGGATTCAAAAATTACTCTTGCACTTAGCACTAAGATTTGCTGGATTTTTCTTTCTGGGCCTTTGCATAAGGATAATTGTTATACGGTCTAATGGATTTTTCTTTCTGTCATTGTTTTATATTCTTCTGGACTTCATCTCTTACACCAGCCATTCAACCATTCTTGCACCAGCATTCGTTTTGCTACGGTTCAGATTCTTGTCGATATTCTTATTAGTGCTGGACAATTTAGCCACATATTCCCTTCTCTCTTCATGGATGAATGGAAGTTGGATTAATAATTCAGTAGTACTATTATATGTGGGTTAGTTCACTGTAAGTAAATGTTTTGTCCTTTCTTGTTGTTTTCAATTTAACATAAAGAAGAGGCAATTCATTTTAAGGAACTTCTATTACACTCTGTCAACATGTTGCTTAAATGTATCATCTGCAAAAAGTTTATTCGATGATGTTTCTCTGTACTGAGAAAAGTCATTATTGAATAGAAGAGAGATTGAATGTCCCCCGAGGAACTCCAGTATCAAATATATTATGCATAACAGAATATACCCCTCTCTATGTAACATATATTTTTAGTGCCTATTATATGAATGCCATAACCTAATTAAGGATTTGACGGACATGTCAGAATCTTCAGAGTCGAACGACTTGGATTGATCGAAAAAGTACATCTACAAATTTTTTCCCATTGATTCTATTATTGATGGCAACTAATGAAATTATATACCATCAGAATGAACTATAAATACATTCCACTATAGTTTCACCTACAACGCTGGAATAAAAATTGTTCTATAATTTTTGGTGATAAAAGCCTCTTTTCTAAACAGGAATAACCAAGGATAAGGTTTGTAACATTAGGGGAGGAAAAACCACAACCCTCTCAATATATGGGGAACTTGAGGTCTGGCCTATGGAGTCTAGTTACAAGGACGTGCCTAGACAAGGAACTCTAGCATACATGAGGGCACACACAATAGACCTGCAAAGGTCGCAGTGTAGTGGCTGTTCAGCACAGAAGCCCCATATTAATCTAATCTCAATCTAATCTAATTATGAATTCAAAACCCTCTATTATTATTATTATCACTTACCCGAGGGGTGGTTGTAAACGTTGGTTCTGGAACATCGTAAGATTTCATATTGGCATCCAAGATATGAATAAGAACATTTTTTGGTCCACATAGCCCATGGAAGTCGTCCATACAAGGATAAGGTTTGCAACATTAGGGGAGGAAAAACCACAACCCTCTCAATATATGGGGAACTTGAGGTCTGGCCTATGGAGTCTAGTTACAAGGACGGGCCTAGACAAATAACTCTAGCATACATGAGGGCACACACAATAGACCTGCAAAGGTCGCAGTGTAGTGGCTGTTCAGCACAGAAGCCCCATATTAATCTAATCTTAATCTAATCTAATTATGAATTCAAAACCCTCTATTATTATTATTATCCCTTACCCGAGGAGTGGTTGTGAACGTTGGTTCTGGAACATCGTAAGATTTCATATTGGCATCCAAGATATGAATAAGAACATTTTTTGGTCCACATAGCCCATGGAAGTCGTCCATATCGATGGCCCAAGTCATTGCTCCTCCGTATCCTTTAGATTTGATCCAGTCCATTTTGATTTGAACAGATTCGGGATCTTCATATCCAACCCACTGGGTTCCTGTTGTAAAAACATGCATCAGGATAGTAATTTTTTAAGTCTCCTCTACAATGAGATCAGTAAGGAAGTATTCAATTCATTTGGGTTTGTGTTTTTTTCATTGACCTGTTGCTAAATTTGGAACTATGGTTATTTGGTCTAGGTAGACCAATGTGCAATATAAAGATTAGCTCCAAACATTTTGCTCATAACTGTGATGGTCATCTCAGGCGGTAGTTGGCAGCAATGCGATGACATGGCCTAGTTGACAGATTCGATATCTGTATCTCTCTGTATCTGTAGAGTCGGGAGGGTGAGTGTAGGCCCACAGAACTTAGGCCACATGTGACCCATTGTACATTCTCCCGAGGAGTTGTCTTGCTGTCCTTATCAGGATGGTGGACAGATTACTAGGAGACATCTCCTTTACATAGGCAGATGTAGGCCAACACTCGCCGAACACACACGATAACTCCGGACACTCGCATAGGACATGCCTGATAGTTGCATCTTTCTGTTCATACATCCTGCATAGAGGTGTGTCAACTAGCCCCATATTATGGAGGTGTTTCCTTAGTTGGGAGTGGCCAGTCAGAAATCCTACTGTTAAGCGTAGATTTTTCCTGGTCATCGCCAGATATTTCTTCGGCGCCAGCTTGCCAGGGTCGCCCAGGGTGATCCTGACAAGATTGCATACTTCAATTTCATCCCATCTCTTTAGGGATTGAGCATGGATGTGACGTTTGGGTAGTTCCGCAATTGTCGAAGTCATCAGGCCGCAGGTGTCACTGGGTCCTAAAATTCTTAGTCCAGCCGCTTCCTTGGCTAAAAAGTCGGCAATGCGATTACCTTCACTCCTGTCGTGCCTTTTAACCCACCTCAGGATAATGTTATTATCTACCGAGGCTTTGGCTAAATCTTGGTGGCACTCTATCACTAACCCTGAGGTAACACGTTGTCTGTTCAAGGCTAATAGTGCTTGTCTACTATCAGTGCAGATTGTTATGTTTTGCCAGGACTTCCTCTCTTGGTTATTTCTTTTGTGGAGATTGAGATACCAGTTAGTTTTGTTTGAACCACGCTGGTATTTTTTCACATGCCCTACTTGATCCTTAGGCTTAGTTATTTGGAGTACACTCCACATCCTCAGCCTTCTTTGGTTTTTATGTCGTCTGTATATATGCGTATTGGATTAGTATCATCTGACTCTGTGGTCTGTTTTATTTGTATTTTGTAGGGTTTATTAAACACAAATCTGGGCTCAATTGCATAACTGGCTGCCTGCATCAGAGGTTGTGTAGTAAGCGCTTCCCGCCATAGGCTCAGCCTCAATTGACACATTCCTACTTTGAGGTTTACACCAGCCGTGCGCAATCGTAACATCACAATTAATGCAACCTTCTTAACGTACAGGTCCAGCGGGGTCAGACCAGTAATTAATTCCATTGCTGCGGTTGGTGATGTTCTCATGGCCCCTGTGATGTTTAAACAAGCTGCATTTGATATATTTTTTGGATGGCCGTTGCTTATAGAACTTTCGGTCCCCATGCAATGGCTCTGTATGTTAACATTGGTCTTATTATTGCAGTGTAGGATCCAGGTGACCATAAGGGGTGAAAGACCCCATGCGCGTCCCACTGTCCTCCAATATTGCTCATAAGCCACTCTCCAGGTGTGAGTTCCATGATAGCTTCCTGTAGAGGGTAGTACCAAGATATTTTACCTCTTAAGAGAAGTTTAGTTTGCTTCTAAAGATTTCAGGAGGTCGTAAGCCCGATAAACCTCTTTTCCTGGTGAAAAAGACCATATCAGTCCTCTTGCGATTGATCGACTGTGAGTGTTCCTCACATGATGTTTCTATTAAATTGAGCCCATCTTGCGCTCTATCGCATAGTGTGTTCACAAATTTGCCGGTCTGCAAGATAACTGTGTCATTTGCGTAAGCAATTGGGTAGAATCCATATTGTTGAGGTGATTAATCAGGGTATCCAGAACTATGTTCCAAAGAAGGGGTGATAAGACCCCTCCCTGTGGACATCCCCCCATGACCAGTCCTCTTACTCCCTATTGAAAACAACTGTCGCTGAAGTTGTCCATCGCAGTTATAGGTGAAATGTTCAGAGACATTGGATCACGGCTACCCAGCCTTGATAATCACAGTTAACATTTGTCTTTTGACCGGGAAAGCCTAAAACTGTTGTTAAATGCATTTCAATTCAAAAATAGTAGTTGATCTTTACTACGATGGATTACCAGTATTTCAGATTGTTGATTCTTCATGAAACTATGAATGATATGAAAATTTCTCCGAGGCTGACGTTATTGAAAGAATGGGTTGGGCTTGAAAAAAACTGTTTCATAAATGGAACTCAGTTTGTATCCATATGAAAAGCAAGTAGTGTACGTAATCATATTCATCAAATTATATCTCCTACAAAAGTGTGCATACAGTAACTATTATGGTTGATTTGGAGAAGTTTGAACATACCCTTATATGCGTAAGGAACTCTGCCTTGTTCATCCCATTTTTTGGTCCAACCTGCGTCTTTGTTCATAACTTCTGTGCAGATCTGAAAAAAATAATTCCAACAATGATTGTGTATCACAACCTGGTCCCATAATCTCTAAAAGATCCTTAACATATTTGTCAGCTCTAATTATGTTGGTCTTACAAGTTTTTTTCAAGTGTAAGATTTGGCATCGATTACTATGGTCATTAACCTAGTGTTTTGGTTAGACTATAATATTAACCCCCATCACCCGCGTAATGTAGCAGAATCAATAAACCTTGAGATACATTTTTGAGATCAACATTTCTTGTCGAAGGCGGATTCAAACTCAGGACCTCAGATTCGCGAGCCGTACACATAATCACTGTGTCAAATCACCGCTGCAAGTGGTGGAACAATTGTAGTGAAAATAAACAATATGTATAAATTGACAGAGATGAATGATTGCAGTGGTATAAGATTTGTTTACTGCCTGTCTTCAAGCATAGCTCACTGACTAATAAGAAAGTTTTTCTTCCTTATTCAGAGGAATCGGGCAAATTTCGGATATGCAGTTGGTTAGTACCTCGTCCACTAGATGGAGTGATATTTTTGTTGTTCGCTCCAACTTAAGACGAGGAATGAAATACGCGAAATAGGCGTCAGTCCATACAATATCAGTTCAAAGGGTAAGGGAGCCAGGCTTCAACTTGATTGAAATCAAGACGACGTGCAGTCCATTCAACCTACTGTGTAAATATAGCCAAGACTGGCTTGAACGTTTAAAGTTTATTTCTTTAGATTTGATTAATGCCGGTCTTCAAGCATAGCCCACTGACTAATAAGAAAGTGTTTCTTCCTTATTCAGAGGAATCGGGCAAATTTCGGATATGCAGTTGGTTAGTACCTTGTCCACTAGATGGAGTGACATTTTCGTTGTTCGCTCCAACTTAAGACGAGGAATGAAATACTCTGAAAGAATTTCGATTTACAATTATGGAATATCATTGAATTTACGTCGATGATGGCCACTATCTTGCACTGATGAGTGGCTAAGGAGCCCGAAACCGTTCCAAAATTGAGGGTCGACTCTTTCAGTTGTATTTCCAATTGCATATGCAGGAAATTTTCTGTGAAGATTCCTGCACTGACGCCTGTCGGATAATCCAACGCCCTTCCTGGTATTAGCCAGGGGAGTAGTTGTTTTCTGATAGGCTTCAGTTCATTCAACTACTGTGTAAGCATATTCGAGACTGGCTTGTACGTTTAAAGTTCATTTCTTTAGATAATTCTAATTGCACGTTTTTGAAGCGGAAAATTTTTGTGGTATTGGAAGAATTGACCCAAGGTAGAGTTCCATAGCTAGCATGATAATGAAAAAATGCATAATGAGCTGAGAGAAGAGTTTCTATACTAACTAAGTTTCTTAATTGCCGGAGTAAGAAAATATGTTTTGAGTGGTTCTGGTTCTACACCTCTATATGAGGTGACCAGTTCAAATCATTGTCAAGAGTGATTTCCAGTAAATTGACAGTTTTGCCCCCAGAAATATTATCATTAGTCGAGACAATTATTTTTTGTGTTTTTTCTTATTGAGTTTGTCAAGAGTGATCATTGTCAAGAGTGATTTCCATTAAATTGACAGTTTTGCCCCCAGAAATATTATTATTAGTCAAGACAATTATTTTTTGTTTTCTTTCTTATTGAGTTTGAGACTCTTATTGAACCACGATTCAGCTTGTCTTTCTGTAAGTGTCATGGCAGATTATGACAACTGTCAGAATCTGCTTGCAGATTCTGCAGATGACATCGAAACCAAAGTCCAATCGTCTCAGTGTGAGAGCTCAAGAAAGCCAAGACATAAAACACTCCAAGTTCTGTCAAATGTCAAGTTTTTGCTCAATGTTTTCTTGGATAAGTGTGGTATCAGGTATGCTCAATTAATCAGTATTAACTTGAAGTTATGCTCTGCTTGCGAGAAGCAATAAGAAGAAAACTTCCGCTAATGTGGCTGATTTATGACTTTTGCATCATTATACTACACCTGCTCACTCGTAATTGCTTGTCCGTAAATTTTTGGCCATAAACAAAACCGTAATTATGCCTCAGCAACCGTATTCACCAGATTTGACCCCCTGTGAATCTTTCATGTTTCGGAGATTGAAGAGACTAATGTAAAGACGACGTTTTGCGACAATTGATGGGATATAAAGCGAATAGTTGAGAGAGCCCGAGGGAATATCAAAAAGTGCATATGTTTAACTGGTTCAAGAATTCGAAAAACGCTGGCACAAGTGTATTATATTGGAGGGGGAATACTTCGAAGGGGACAAAATAGGAATGGGGAATGTTCCTACTGACGAAAATCAAGTAGTTTTCATAAAAGAGATCTAAAACAACGCATTTTAAACTTATCATTTCAACCTTTTTCTCTAAAAAATTATTTAAATACGTAAAAAAGAGGAATGAAATAATGCATTCAACATATTTCGATCACCAAGTAATCATCTTCAAGAGGAAGAACAAACTCAGTTTGATCTGAAAAAACTCCAGTAATATTCATTACTACATCAAAGGTTCCAAATAGTGCACACAAGTATATAACTTTTATTGTCTTAAATGAATGAAAAATTTTGTCAATATTTGGAACATATGACAATTGCCATAATTTTTGGATACTATGAGTCAACTTACGACGTTCAGTTTCTCATAAGCCCATTGATCATGAGGTCTTTTGTAGAGTGGACTGTGGGAATCTGCGAATCCTGCCCAATTTCCTCTCAAGTCATACGACATAACATGGATAGCATCCAGTAATCTGAAATAAAATAAAATTCATTAACAAAATATAAAATATTGGATTAGGAGTGCGTCATGTCATTTTGGGTCGTCCTAACTATTAGATTTAGGGCGATTACTTGTTATTTCTATTATTTTTCTCAGCAGACCCTTTATTTTGTACCCATATCAAGGGGGTGCATAAAAACTAGTCCACCATCTTGAGTCGTCCACCATATTGGTTAATAATGGCGGTACACATCCTGCAAAGGAGGGTGCTGCAAGCAGCTTCATCAGACCAGAACCTGTCATTGGCATCGCATTAGGCGATGATTGAACACTTGGATGACCAGAAGAAATATGGACTTCTGGCAGAATCTTCCAGGATTGGCTCACTTCAAGGCGTTTATTCACCCTCCGAAGCTTGATACCAAACAGTTGTTGGACTACAGTAGGGATGAACTACGATGTCTAACAGGCCTCCTTACAGGTCACTGCCATTTGAATTATCATACTGTCGGACTGTCGGAAGACAGTGTGTGTCGCCTTTGATTGGAAAATGATAAACAGTAGAGCACATACTTTATGCCTGCCCCGCTGGGGACGGAATCAGGTTTATAGAGTTCGGCAGAGCCGTACTCTTACCATCTGACCTGAAAGACCACTCATCATACAAATTAATCGGCTTCGTTAAGAAGCTGGGTGTATTTGGTCAAGTGTGAATAGGTGTGAGCCACAATAAATCCTTGCGGGTTGCGGTGGAGGGTGGAATACACCCACTGACCTTGGACCTAACCTAACCTAACTCATCTAATCATTCGAAATGTACATAAATAAAAATTTTGAGCTCACTCGACTGAGTATAAGTACTTTAAAATTCTGTTGGAAGATTTGAATTAAACTGACATGTATACTTCAATTTTCTCGCATACACAAACTGTCATAGATGAAAATTGGCAAAGTTAGAATCTATATTTTGCTTGGACTAAGTTTATGTTCAGGTGACCTTCAATGTATGCCATGTATTCATAACCAATATGGAAATATGTCGTTAGCTACTTACTCCATGTGTATGTGACCATAATTATCATCATTGTTGTCATTCACTATCGATCTTTTATGGAAGTAATTGTGTTTAGCATATTTATTCCCAGCTCAAATGCTAATGGAAATGTATTTCCATTTGAAATTGAACTACTGGAAGTTAAATTCAAGTGATTTCTACTTTCGTGAAAAGATAATATTGTAGAAATGTAGCCTTTCACGGCTGGCGTTGATGTTTTGGTTGCTTTCGGGGTTTTGGCGTGGTCTTCAAACGTTTCAACTGCAACAGTGGCGCGCCCGAAGTACTCTTCTTGACGTACCTATCAACTGATACGTCGAGAAGAGTACTTCGAAACGCTACTGAAGATGACTACCGCAGTTGTATATTATCATACTGTCGGACTGTCGGAAGACAGTGTGTGTCGCCTTTGATTGGAAAATGATAAACAGTAGAGCACATACTTTATGCCTGCCCCGCTGGAGACGGAATCAGGTTTATAGAGAGCTGGGTGTATTTGGTCGAGTGTGAATAGGTGTGAGCCACAATAAATCCTTGCGGGTTGCGGTGGAGGGTGGAATAGACCCACTCACCTTGGACCTAACCTAACCTAACTCATCTAATCATTCGAAATGAACATAAATGAAAATTTTGAGCTCACTCGACTGAGTATAAGTACTTTAAAATTCTGTTGGAAGATTTGAATTAAACTGACATGTATACTTCAATTTTCTCACATACACAAACTCTCATAGATGAAAATTGGCAAAGTTAGAATCTATGTTTTGCTTGGACTAAGTTTATGTTCAGGTGACCTTCAATGTATGCCATGTATTCATAACCAATATGGAAATATGTCGTTAGCTATTTACTCCATGTGTATGTGACCATAATTATCATCATCATTGTCATTCACTATCGATCTTTTATGGAAGTAATTGTGTTTAGCATATTTATTCCCAGCTCAAGTGCTAATGGAAATGTATTTCCATTTGAAATTGAACTACTGGAAGTTAAATTCAAGTGGTTTCTACTTTCGTGAAAAGATAATATTGTAGAAATGTAGCAGAGGCGCGCCCGAAGTACTCTTCTTGACGTACCTATCAACTGATACGTCGAGAAGAGTACTTCGAAACGCTACTGAAGACGACTACCGCAGTTGTATTTGAAAAGTTTAGAGATTGTAGCCAAAGAAGACCACGGCAAAACCCAAAAACCAACCAGAATAAAGATTATATTGATATGTGTAATTTTCACTTTTTTTTGTTTCCCACTCTTCATATGTTGATGGAGCAGTAGAAAGCCAAACAGGTTTCTTTCCCAAAAAGTATTCCTCCTAAGAAATGGAAAACAGGAACTTCACTGAATTGATTTGATTATATGTTGCATGATGTCAACATGTAAGAACTCGTATAAAGTATTGATCTTTTGTATGAAGTTATTTATCGAATATCAGGATTCAACTCACTCGCACAATTCTGGAACATGGTACCCTTCTTGAAGACGGAACTTGGCTACAGGAACTGCCATAGTTATCTCCCAATTCTTCCCGACCTTATCGAATGCCCTTCTCAATTCTTCGACGAAATAGAAGAACTTGTCCTTGTCGGAAAAACTTCCACCACGATCCGCTGCTCCAGGATATTCCCAGTCCAAATCGAAACCGTCGAAATCATATTCAATCATGAAATCTGAAGCAAATTGAAATGTGTTGGGTCAATATTATAATCGTAGGGTTGGCGTTGTGACTTTGCGTGGACGGTGTGGTTCTTTAATCTAACGTAACGAATCTGAAGCCGCCCCTGACCGATATGTCGGCCAGCGAACAAACACATGGCATCACCTCAAAAGGAATGCAGTCGGCAACCGCCGATAAACTCTAGTTCAGTACCGAAACGACTATATAATTCTAGAATGATCGTTACCGATATATAAGGCCGGCTTCTCGACCCAAGAGGGCAGTTGAGTTCAGAAAGTGAATCGAGCGGTTGAACAAGGAACTCAAGTAGGGGAAATATATTAGGCGTTAGTTGTTAAGTGTTGTGAATAAATTAGTTTGTGTCAGTGAAACATTGTTGGTAATAAATTTGTTTAAGACAGTTCATACTTTACAATTGGTGTCAAAAGTGGGATGAAGAAGGCCAATGACATCATGGCGAACAGGCGATTGCTGGAGGATTCGAAACCAGTGACCTAGTTTGGCTCTACAACCCTAAGCGACGTCGTGGTTTATCCTGAAGTTGCGGAACTCGTGGGAAGGTCCGTACAAAATCATGAAAAAGATTAATGACCTCGTCTACCGAATCCATAAGCCACCTCGAGGAAAGCCTAGGGTCGTCCATTTTAATAGACTGACTCCTTATGCTGGAAATCACGACCAAGTTCGCGCCCTCAGACCACCAGAGGGCGAAATTACGTTCCATAAGTTCATGTCTTTATATTCGAACGGACAGAAGGTCATACATGGGGTAACTCAAGAAGAGCCACGAGACCTTTGCAACATTTCAGTTGATTACGCACTAGCTTACTGCGTGGCAGAGGATCTCCAAATGTCCAGGAGTATCGCTGTGGTATTCAACAATAAATTCGGTCAGCTCCAAATATTACGAGAACAGAATCCTGAAGTCGAAGGAGTGCTACAGTTGAAGAAGGGTCAGAGAAACATCTACTTGGTGAACAAAAAGCATTCTCGAGACAAACCATCCTATGAAGATGTCCGGAGGAGTCTTACCAGACTGAGGGACACGATGCTCGACCAGAATCTCGTGGACTTGGCAATCTCGTGGACTTGGCAATCCCGAAATTAGCCTCTGGGCTCGACAGGTTGGATTGGAAAATTGTGAGAAGCATGTTGGAAACGATATTCTGATCCAGCGGCATCAAGATTTTGGTGTGCGGTAACCATTATCCATGACTGAGCATGAAGACTGTGGAGTGTTACTTCCATCGAACTTCACAGTGCAGATATGGGGAGTCCTGCAGGTTTCGACAAACGCCAAGGATGACATTTCCGGGCGAAACGTCTTTGAGAAGGGGGCAATGTAACGAATCTGAAGCCGCCCCTGATCGATATGTCGGCCAGCGAACAAACATATGACATCACCGCAAAAGGAATGCAGTTGGCAACCGCCGATAAAACTCTAGTTGAGTACCGAAACGACTACAGAATTTTAGAACGATCGTTACCGATATATAAGGCCGGCTTCTCGACCCAAGAGGGCAGTTGATTGAAGGTGGTTGACAATGTTTCGTGGTGTATTTCATCAGTTCGGACTTCCATTGTCTAATATAATATAAATTGATTTGATAACCCTGAAAAAAATCAAGAAGATTAACCAAAAATACCAATTTTATTAAACAAAAAACTGAAATTACAAAAAATTTGTTTAAGACAGTTAATTCTTTAATTTGTTACACTAAGTAGATTCAATTTCTTTCTGGAATTTTTCGATTGACTGACGTTACAATTGAAGATGATAGAAAAAAGTATGAAGTATTGCTTTGGAGTTGAGAGAACATGATTTATTAACTCTACTCGTTCAAACCCCTCTTCACAACCAGTTTTATTCAGGGTTTGGCTGCTCAAACTCTTGTTTTGAAGCATTCTCATATATCTGTACAAATTTTTCATTTAGTTTAAGATAATCTGAACCCCTTTCAGAGATTTGAAGTGAAAAGGTCTCAAATGGTCGCTGTGTCATCTTCGAAAATGAAATGAAGAAATATTTTCACTTTATGGTATTTTTTAGTGGGTAGGAATATTGAGAATGATGATTTGGTTAGTCCCTCGAGGGAGATTGCATTTCTGATGGGAGTTTTGAACAATTTTGTCCAATGCTACTTACTGACAACGCTGCTGATGAAAAGGTCTCTTCTAGATTTATCAGCAACCATTGCAGAATATTTGGATCCTCCTTCTGCCCATCCTCCCACAGCCACTTCTAATTTCACGTTGGGGTGGGTTTTCTTGATGTTGGTGAAGTTCCGGAACCCGTTATTTTCAACATCCAACTACAATAGAAAACGTTACAGTTTTGAACGATATACTCATCTGATTGTAAAAACTAGAAATGGTGTCCAAAAACCAGAACTTTTCGAAATCACTAGTACTCCAAATCCAGAAAATTGCTTATACCTGTTCAGAAGTTAGCTAGAGAAGTTAGAGTTTTATGGAATAAGGGGTGTACCTCTGATACTACTGAAATCATATTTGAATAACAGAAAGCAAACAGTATTTATAAATGACGTAAATTCAATGTACGAAATAGTTAGGCATGGAGTTCCCCAGGGCTCTGTATTGGGTCCTCTGTTGTTTATAATATATGTCAACGATATATTCTATCAATTTCCTCCCAAACATTGCATTTGTTTTGCTGATGATACGACGATCATCAATCAGCATAAAAACATTCAGAAGTTGCACGCATTATCTGAGGAATCTGGCAAAGAGGCTGAGAAGTGGTTTGCATCAAACAATTTGAAACTAAATATCGAGAAATCTCAAAGTATTACGTTTAAAACACACGTTGATAAGTCAGAAAAGGTTAGTACAAAACTTTTAGGTATCATTTTAGATGACACCCTCTCATGGTCAGCTCATATTGAGCAACACTTGAGCTATGGCATACTATTGTGGGGAAACTCTAATCAGTTAGAACGAGTTTTTCGCCTCCAAAAGAAGGCAATGAGAATTTTAGATGGTGCTCCCTTTAGAGAAACGTGCAGACCACTGTTTAAAAAATATAGGATATTGACCCTACCTTGTTTGTTTATTTATGAATCAGCTATTGAGATTCACAAAACGATAAATGAATATATGACACACTCTGATGTGCATAATTATCCAACGCGAAATGTAAATCAGTTAAAACCTCCTCGTTACAGACTTACTGTTTCATCTCGCAACTCTCTGGGCTTGAGTCTTTACAACAAACTCCATACTGATATAAAAAATTCCAATCTTTACCATTTCAAACCTGAAGTGAAAAATATCTTAGAGCATAGTTTCTATGAAGTGGGAGAATATTTGGAAGCACCACTTCTCACGTCTTATCAACACAATTAATCTCTTTGTTTGTTACTAAATTACGTTAGGCTTTTTCGTACTTTTACTACATTAAACTAGATCGAAAAGAGTCATTTTGTAAATTTAAAATTTTATACATTGAATTATTTATGTATACTTATTAGTATATAGGTACACTTTTTGTATGACTTGCTACAAATGTAATGTAACTTAGTCAAATAAACTTACTTACTTACTTACTCACATAAATGAAAAGAAAATGATTTGAGACTGACGTGAATAAATACTTTTTTTTAATTGTTCTTACCTCCGGATCGATAACTAGCACTCCCCATGTTCTATCGTCAACTCCTATGAAGGAATACACTATGTGAGTACAAAGATCAACTGGTACATCATCAATTCCATATTTTCCTACTCCTGGTCTATATATAGCCCAGTTGCTGAAGTAACATACTACTCTGGATGGGCTGGAATTTGCTGTTATGGAAAAAACATCATTTAAATGTCTACTTAATAATTTCATGAAATGGTATTGAAAAAACTAAAAACATACTTTTGGATACACTCATTTTCAAAATGGGAACAATATACAAATTCAAATATCTACATAGAATATTGCCGTGAGAAAAGTATAGTAGATACATATTGTCATTGCCGATGTAAACTTCTCACTCTGTTGATTGGTTCGTATTTTCAGAAATATTTGATATTTCAATAACACGACAGGTTATAATTGGTACCTATAATTTTTGATTTTAATAGCTTCTATACTAATAAAAATTAGTAGATATGACTTTTCCCAAATACCAAAATGAATATTTCAAGTAGAGGCCTGCATATGATTAGGTTAGGTTTATTGTCTCTCTGTGTGTCTCTCTGTATATCTGAACGCGGTTCTCGCCAATGGATGCAGTGATTGGAGGGGAAGATTTTTGTGTATAATTCAATGATGTTTTGTGTGAACAAGTTGGAATATGACGACGTTATCTGTGCGGGGTTTGGTCGGTGATGCTATCCTTGCAAAACCGGGGAGCTTTCATAGAAAACACTGCCTATTCATTCTTTCAAACGTTAACAGAAAAATTCGCGAAGGCATATTTCTACCTATTAAAGATAGAAACCCATGTCACAGTTTCAGAAAATGTTCGAATTCAAAAATTTCCATTTCGAAATATATTCAAGTGGCCTTACACAATGATACGAACGCTTGATGGAAGGTTTGAACGTTGATCCAACATTTCTGTTCTGTGTTGTCTTCAGGTTCTAACTTTGAGTAGATTTTATCGGAGAATACTATCATAAGCAACAAACTGAACGCTAGTTTAATTCAATTCTCAAATTTGGATTTACAAAAATGAATCAACTCACCTGTACTATGAAGTGTCGATAGCAGGACAGGACATATCAAAACCCACAACATTTTTCTGGAACAAAGGCATATGAATGAATGAATTGGTGAATATTTTTCATGTAGTTAATATTTGCAGACGAGACGAGACGAGACGGAGAAATACAGCCAGGGCATGAACATCATATATCAGTTTGTTTCTCAGATAAGATTTTCAGAAAATAATGACCAAGTGTCTATTTTGTTCATATTCAATACCAATTTGAGTGGGCGCTGATTCACTTTGACGAGATTTGAAACAATTTTCAACAAAAGGGTAGAGGAAACATTATAATCATTCACTGATAACAGTCATTTTCTCTAGTTTATTCCAATCAATATATTTTTGGAAACCTGATCGTGATTAATGAGCACTGAAAAATATTGCACACGTTATAATTCAAGATATACCCAAGTGACTCATCAGCTTATATAAATAGATATCTACATGTACATGTATTTCGTTTTATAGAAATCATTCACCCATATTGTTTCAGTATTTGTTGAATAGTATTGCATTAAATAGAGTAGAATATATCAAGGACCTTGGAGTATACTTTGACACAAAATTGAATTTCAATCGCCATGTTGAATATGTCATAAATAGAAGCAACAGAACAAACCTGAAATGTCATCGGAAAACGAATCCACATGTTTCTAGAAATGATATGAAATCGAGAAAGGTTAATGCAGTCAAGCTGCTGGAAAATAATTCCATGAAAATCAAAAGATAAATAGATTAGTACTTTTTGATCATTCCCAATTGATTTCAATTTAAGAGCCACCGGTATACAACTGTTTCAGCGTATTGGGCATCGTCAGTACCGGGCAGGCGGTCCTCGATTGAAGACAAAATGAGAAAAACCAAGAAAGTACCTGAAGGTTTGAAAACAGCTCGAGAAATTCATATAAAAATATAATATATCTTATCACCTCTGTTTCACATGAAGGGATCAAAAGCTGTTTGCAGCACCTTCCTCTGCGAGGGAATCAGCGGCGTCATTGACTTCCAAGCAAGTATGGCCAGGAATCCAGACCAGAATCGTTTTCGGCAATTTGCTTCCAATTTAGACGTTGCTCGGTAGGAGCCAAGCGCTTCCAACTCCGTTGTCCGAGTATATTTTTATTGACTTGGGTATGAGTTTGGATTATTCCAATCACTCCACTCTAAGTAATAGCGTAAATTTCCGCTTGAAATACAGTCGCATATGTTCTTAGGCAGGTTGATATCTCTTTTCTGGATTTGCGATTGAAAACACCTGCACCAGAACCTGAAGGAGCTTTCGATCCATCTGACAACCAACAACTATCTGCTCTTAATATTTCCTTTTCCTGGAGGATCCAGTCCTCTCTACTCGGTAACATTACTTTATAAGGCAGTTCGTAGTTGACAGTTGGAAACATAAAGTCAGAGGTCATTTCCAGAATGCTGTGACTCCAGTGTCAACCAGAAAAATGTGGAGAGGAAGTAGATCTAGAAGAATCTCCATGGCCGCTAACGATGTGGTACTGATGGCACCACTGATAGCCAGACAAACTTGTCTCTGTAAGCCAGAGAGCTTCGCGTGAGCCGTTCAGTATAAAGCCTTCGGCCACCAGGCAATTGCTCCATAAGTGATCATTGGTCTGACAATCATCACATAAATCCAATGGATTTGTTAGGGACCTGAACCCCAAGTTCTACCACAAATCCTTCGACATGTCCATAGGGACAGTCTTGCTTTGTGTAAAACTTGTTCCAAGTGAGCGTTTCAGATGAGTTTTTTCTATCGAGGACAATGCCAATATATTTCACCTCCGTTCCAAATGGATTTACTTCACCATTGAAGGAAAGTGGCGTTGGATCACCCAATTTTCTCTCCTGGTGAAGGGGATTATCAGTTTTGCTCCCTCAGACACCAACTGTGAACAACGTCTATCCTGCTTTGGAGGATATTACAAGCTACCTTTCCTGACATGGACCTTGCCAATATGACAAGGTTCACTGCATAAGCTTACAGATCTAATTTTCCTCTGTTGAGAGCATCAAGCAGACTATATGACGAAACTTCATCCGTAGTTGATAATTGGTTCTCAGCGAACATTCTTTTTCTAAATATTAATAAAACAAAATTCCTTAGATTTCATAGCCTCTAGAGAACCTGTTAATATATATTTCATTTGGTTCTCCTATGATCTCAACAAATGTCACAAAAACGAAGATACTGGGATCAAATGTCGATAACCATCTCAGTTGGAAGTCTCCCTGCGAGGATATTGTTTCCAAACTTCACACAGTTGCCTCTCAATTTAGCAATATTAAAGAAATTTTGAATTCTGATCAGTTGTTGCAGCTCTATTATGTACAGGTAGAAAGTATAATACGATGTAGCGTGACTTTTTGGTGAACATCAACTTTACCGTCTTGTGCTCATTGCCCTGAAGAAGCTTCCCATTAGAGCAGCAAAGTAGAGCAGAGTTTTGATTTTCGATTTTTTCACTGAGAGACCCCGAGACTCCGTTAATCCATTTTACTGTACATTTTTCCAGTGTGTCTATTTTGTTC